GGCAGAATTTGGAGAACAGGTTAAACAAAGCATTGAAGTATTCAAGAGTCCAAGAAAATCCCGATACCAGACACAATGACCTAAGCCTTGTAACTCATCATCAACCTTTTTCTTCCCCTCCCTATTGTCATGCATTTGTTATCTCCTTTTCACAATGCTCCTGAGCCATCTTTCCCTTTACCTCCTGATTTGTCTCTTTTTTTTTGCCCTGATGCTGCTAGCGCTGATCCAGCTGTATGGAAATAGTTCCCTAGTCTGGCTTAAGGCTTTCTTTAATAACGGCAAAGGGTCTTGGGGCTGATTCTTCTAAAGACTTTTGTTGTTTTCTTTGGGAGCTGTTGTAAGTTGACCTCTTTTGAAAATCTAGATGCGTGGTTACAGGTTTTTTTCTGCAAGTAACAGACATCATAAGCCTTCTTGCTGCTTGCTGGCCATACTGTTTGAGGGGGTAAAAAGCCTGTGATGAACCCAGCAGACAGCTAGTGCAAAGGAAAGACAGGCTCCCTTCTGATGAGAGCCAAGAGGCCAAATCATGCCAAGTATTGTCTCAGAAAGAAAGAGCAGTCGTAACTGAGCAGTCTAGTCAAGAGCAGATAAATGGAAGTTGTCACAATTGTGGGTGTCTTGTTTTTCTCTTGCTGTCCCTTTCCCCTTTGGCCTGGGGCAGGCTACAGGCATAATTCTATTCTCTCGCCAGACAGACAGATGTCTAGTACAGGCACAGACTATGCTCTAGCACAATTATTTAATCTTCACTTCTCAGCCCTCACAGAGCACAAATCCTCAGCGAATACATGAGAGTAAGTGGAGACTATCCACAAAGTCCAACAGACTTTAGGCAGGCCACTTCCTGAGGCTGTTCTTCCAGGAGCAGAGAGAGGTAGTTGGTTAGCTGTGTTAGCCTGAACTCAGGCAGAAGGCAGGATGGAGTTGCACCTTAGACTAACTAAATCAGAGATGAATAAGCTTCCGTAAGCAGTGGCCGACTTCATCAGATGCTATCATCTGAGTCATCTTCCTCAGAAGCATCAAGTGTTGCCCGTGGCCGGCAGCAGGATGCTTTGGTGCAACTCTGGGCTGTTTCCACCCAATCAGTTCCCTGGCTCTCCAGTTGTCTACTCCCTACTGTTCCTTCTGTGGCCTCAACACTTTAGCTTAGGCCTCCCCAGCAGGCCTTATTCCAGGCTGTCAGCATCACAGAAGGTTGCTTTGCAACTTTCCCTCCCAAGTGCATTAAACCCAGCTTCCACATGTTGCAGAAAACCTTTCAGGATATAAATCAAAGCCCCCTCTAGGCGATGAACAAACTTGGTGACTAGTACATGAAATAACTGTTCAACATGCCAATGGGATTGTGCTCACTTTCCCATTAATACCACATTAATTCATTATGATTAATGTTATTACGGTGACCACCAAATGAATTAATGATGGCCCTGCAGTACATTAAAATGTTACTGGTATAATTAATTCCATCAAGTCTATTAGAAAAATTGTAGATGTTGGGAGCAAGGAGCAGAGAGCACAGATACAAGGAGGATAAGGTATGAGAAGTGGTTCCATCATCTGTCAAAAGCATTAGCATCTGTCACAGGCTTCTGCAGGGCCTATGCCTGGGGCACTGAGCCAAGGAACGTACAGTTGATCTTTACAGATATGGGGGCAGGTTCTCTCTGTCCAGCTTGAATTATGCTGCCCTGGGGGCTAAGGTGATGGTAAAGCCTGAGAATAGTGCATATTGGCCCAGAAACCCTGATAAAACAGTATTTGCCCACAACATGTAGTGATAACAATGCCTTCCTCCAAATGCTTACCAAAAGAAATGATCTCGGCTCTTCCAGAATTAACTGGAGCAAATTTGCTTGTGTTTTGGGTCAAACAAGCAGAAATCCCACATGCTCTCACTTGAGACCCCTCAGGGAAGATGAGCGCTTGCCCATCACTATCTTGGCAGAACTCTGAAATGCAGAAGTGAACAGGCTGTCTCATCCACACAAGCACATGCCCCAAGTGAATCAACAAGACTTCCTTGCCAATGCTACTTACAACTGTGGAGGTCCCAAAGGGGCAGCAGGAACATCTTGCCCTTCACCCATAGCTAAAGTACATCCAAGTGAGGTTGTTAGCCATCTTAGTCTGAAGTCAAGCAGTGAACTAGTTCTTGCTCATAAAAGTTAATGCATCTCTGACTTAATCTATAAGGTGCATCTCTACCCTGCCTTCTGCCTAAAGTACACAAGTTAATTCCATACCTAGACTGAGCACAGGCTGTGATGGACTAGGGAAATCCAAATGTGGTCTCCCCACCCCCCTCCCCCCAGCCTGTCACTACCTCAGTTATCATCCTGGTGACTGGGACCTTCAAGAGAAGCCAGCAGGGTTAACATATTGTGAGTGGTAACAGTACCTGTCTTCATTCACAAATGGTAGAGGTTTGGCATAATGGCCTCACCACTGTCTGGCAGAGGGCCAAATTCTGATACCTGCCTGCATGTACAGTCCCACTGACTTTCCAGGGACCATATACAGGGCAAGCTACTACCCAGCAGGACCACATCTCTTGGAAGCCACCCAGAAAGCAAGTATAAATGGACCCAATCGCTAATGAATATGTGGGAAACAGAATCGGTGCAATCTTGCACCCCTGAGGAAAGAAAAGGTCCGGGATAAGACAGCCACAAAAGCCAAGGGGCAGAGGAACTGCTGAGCCCGCATCCTCGCAGTGCTTCCATGGGAGGATGGTGGTGTGACCCCACTGAAATCCAAGGGCTTCCATCAGGCAGCATATGGATCATGTGAAGGGACTCAGGCCCTGTGATTATTTTTCCTTCCTGTTTTTATCAACGGCCTTCAACACAGGGTCTCTAGATGCTGCTGGGAATGGTTGATTGATCAAGTCTAAAAAGTAGCTCCTCAGACTAACTGTGAATTCATTATGAAGCTGGGAGCGACCCTGCCCTGAGCTTGTGCTGAGAGGAAGCGTCTGTGTGTGTCTTGCTCCATGTTTTATTGCTGGCTCCAAGCGTCTTCCCCTTTAATTAGTACCAAACCTTATGTACTGTTAGAAGTGACTCCTAACATCACTGCCTCACCCCCTCAGATGTAGCTAGTAAAGGATGACTCCGGGGAGAAGGTGGAGAACAAAGCATCTGAGGGAGGGGAACAGGTAGAGTAACGGGGTGAAGGGACATCGGTAAACTAAGATGGGACATCAGAAAGAGTTTTCTAGCAGTGTTGGTGATCCTCAACCTCGTTAGGCTCAGGGCACTCCTTGGAAAACGTCAGCTCTTAGTCTTCTCTTGTTTTTTGACTACAGAAAAATAATACAGCAATCCTTTGGTTGGAACGAACTCAAAAAGCCCACAACAGTCAGTATGTTCTTAATCCAATGGATTCCCATTTGTAACCTCTGGGCTTATATTGTGAATTATGTTTGCACACCTAACAGTGCTAACATCATGTGGCACTGTGCAGCACCCTGGAAAGGCTTTCAAGGCACCCCAAGGTGCTGTGGCACCCTGTGTGAGACAGCTGGTCTAGAACAACCCAGCAGGGAAAGTGGAGGGAGCACAGCTTAGAAAACAGTAAGAGAATCCTTCACTGGCAGGAGGAATGGACTGGGTAACCTAGCAGGAACTTCACATGGTTAATGCCTGCCTTTGTAAGGACTGCTCTGCCTTTTATAACTATGGGCTAATTCTGGATGAGCAGAAACACAAGGGCCACATAGGCCCCTCCTGCCCCTCTATAGTCCCCTGCATGCATGCACGCGCACATCCCTGCCAGCGAGGGGCCCTGTGGGGAGGTGGCTGTTGTTTTGGCAAGGCCTCGGCAGGGTCTGATGCATTCCAGGTGAGTTTCGACAGATTTTTCTTTCTGCTTAACACAGCTGTCTATGGGCCCACACCCCGAGTGCCGTGGGGAGTCTTTCCATTGATTTCAAAGGGCAATTGATCAGACCGCACATTAAAGCACTTGAGTCAGGAGAGAGATGGGAAGACGCACGGTGAACTGGTTGTTGCTCCCTTCTCATTTCAGGGAGGCAGGGAGGAGCCTGACCTGTCAGGCCTCATCATGTGTGTAATTATAGAACGTATTTGCTGCCCCTGGAATTGCAGCCGGCCCAAGCATTACAATCTCCTGCTGGGCCAGGCATCTCTAGGGAGAGCAGGGAAACGAGGAATGAAAAGCACCAGTACCAGGTAGGTTAATATTCCTGGATCAGGGCAGATGATCGCAGGGTATGCTACAGCCAAACTCCCCCTTTTCCTCTCTTTACGCCGACTTCAGCACTTTAGGCAATCCCAGTCACCTCACGCTGCTCCTGAGAACAGATCCTGGCTCTGTCCTGAACAGTCGCTCAGAATATCCCAGCAGCCTCAGCTGGGGCTAGCAGCAGAGACTGGAAGAGCCCTGAACTAGGAAGAGCCTAAGAGATGTGTGCACTGTGCGCTGGTACCTGCCACACTCCCGACAACTTCCCTAAGAGCACTGGCATCTGTTACAGCATCCCCCCGATATGGCCACGAAACCACGAGGGAATAACAAGCAGGGGTGGTGACACATACTGTGTTGTACAGTGCATTTCTAAATCAGCTCCTCACACATGTCCTGTACAGTGAAGGGAAGGCCTCTACAAGCTCCTGAGTGAGGGAGTGGGTATTTTCAAATGGTGACATTATGAAGGGAATAGTCAGGCCTGAGCCCCAGAGCTATTAATAGCATGGCCTGTATTGCTGGCTGCAGGCTGCCTGTCCACTGGGTAGGAGCGCGGTGATAGAGAGGGAGGGTGGGAGCAGAGAGGGAGGAGGGGCAAGTGAGGAAGGCTGCCTAAACTTGGATGTCCCAAGTACGTAAGTATCCCGGTCCCGGAGGGGGAGGTCAGCTGTCGCAGCACAGATTCTCTGAGGGTGTTTCATCCCCTCTAAAATACTCAGCTGACAGGGCAAGGATTGCAAAACACAGCCCCCATCACTCCACTACCTATAAATAGAAGGCACTCAGCTGGTTGGAAAGTTAGAGAAGTTTCTCGGCTCTGAGCACGAACATTTATTTAGGCTCTTTCCTGAGACCTAAAAGGAAGGTTTGAGAGACGGAGAGGAAACAGGCTTTGTAACCTCAGAAGTTCTTTTTTTCCTCTGCTTCTGAAAAGTTTTTATTACCAAAGTTTTCTTTTCTCTCCTCTCCTTCCCTTGTGTGCAATTCAAACAAATAGGAAGCTGTTTTCTCTCCGCTGCCTCGCTGCCTGGAGACTTGTTTTGTCCCTCTGTTTTTAAACTTTTGAATGATAAAGCCCTGATTTTTGTTTTTTAAGCTTGTTTTTGGAGAGAGCCGAGATTCTGGTATAAGCAGCCAGAAGCTGAAATTCCAGTCCGCCCAGCTGCTGGTGAGTGGATTTACTGCATCACGTGAAAGTTTACAGCCAGGAACACCAAGGCAAACATTGACATTTCAGAGGGGAACGTGCAGCCTAGAGCCAGAGAAAGTTGGAGGACTTCTGTTTTGCTCTTGGTTTTGACTTAGAAGAAAACTATGGCCGACGGCCAGATGCCCTTTTCCTGCCATTATCCCACCAGGCACCGAAGTGTCCGGGACCCATTCAGAGAGACTGGCTTGACCTCTCGCCTGCTGGACGATGACTTTGGCATGTCCCCATTCTCTGGGGATCTAACTGCAGACTGGCCAGACTGGGCACGACCACGACTGACCACGACATGGCCAGGCCCTTTGCGATCAGGAATGACCCGAAGCAGTGGCATGTCCCCTCCTGGATACGGCACCAGATTCAGCAGCTACCCTGAGAGCCGGAGTCCCACTGCCTTCTCAAGGGAGCCCTGGAAGGTGTGTGTCAACGTGCACAGTTTTAAACCTGAGGAGCTGACAGTGAAGACCAAGGATGGCTATGTGGAAGTGTCAGGTGAGTGAATGGTACGGGACAAGGGAAAGTAAGAGGGGAGGAAAGGAACCCAGGGGAAGGAAATTAAGGTAGGTCCTAGGATTTAAAAAAAAAAAAAAAGCCCTCACAACAACTAAGTTTCAAAGCAAATACCTGAAATGCCAGTATAAATGTTGTTTGAAAAAAGACTGATTTCTGCAGAGTTTGCAACCCAAACAACAGAGCCGGGTGCCTCTTCCCAAGAACATGAACCTAGAACAAAAAGCTGTGTGACACTATTCATGCTGAGGGAGTTATTACTTGTTGACACCCGTGCAAGTGAGTGGACACCCAAGGCCCGGAGGTTTCAGTGTTCTTCGTTTCACCAATCTAGGTGGCTGCTGAGAAAGGAAAGGTGTTTTCTTAAACTAGGCACAATTAAAGTCCAAACACAGGGCAAGAAGCAACTGGGTTTTCAAAGTTGCCTCAGGACTGGCAGCTGAGCTCCCAAATCACAGAGGGGAGCTTTGAAAATCTCGGTTCACAACACATAAAGTGAACACCTGATCCTGCTTGCTGCTGTGACGAGGGCAGAGGAATCGGTCCCAAACATAGGAGGACAGATCATACCCACTTCTGCACTTTGCCTACAGCTGCACCAGTCTCACTGGATTGAACTGCATTGATTAGTCTCACCAGCCCCTGTGGGACCACCCTTAATAGCTAGAACTACACACAGAAGCCTGAGTTTGCAGGACCAGACTCCAATTGTATCCTGTTAATTATAGATCATTACAGAGGCTTGGTAGCTAAGGGAGTTTCCCTTAAAGGGACAAAGTCCTCAGGAACTCACCAGAAGTCAGGAATGGTGCAATACTCTTTTGACCCTCCCCTAAACACTTGCAAACAAGGGGCAGAAAACCATGCCCATAAATGGTTAAGAAGAGGTTTTAAAATAATGCAGGAATAACAACCCAGGAGGAAAACACATGCATGTGAGTGCAATCAAGTTAGATAAGGGTGATGGAAAAAGAACATAAAGCTGGGGAACAAAGGGAGAGGTTAGCAGAGTAGAAACAACAAAAGAAATAACTTGGGAGAAAAAAAACCCCACCTCTTTATATTGTGTCTAATTGTTAATTCATTTAGCAGCCCCTACAATAACATTAATGACAGAGCAAATTCAGCGGTGCTGAATAAGAAGGCCATAAGCACTTCCATAAAAATTCAATCGTGATTCCCCAACAATTAATGTAGCATTAAAAATAATGTGTTGCCAGGAAAATATAAAACAGACCGAAAGCGAATAAAAAGGATGAGATTGCCTTTGTGCATCCTTGCTAACAAGCACCAGGGGAAGGAAGCCCTTTCTTCTCCTTGTGACAAGGTATTTAGTGCAATTTGCAGATTCATTGGAATCTGATGGGGCTGTGCTGGGGGTACTTTTGCTACGGCCTTGAGCTTGCAACCTCTGGGCTGTCAACTATGCACCTTAGCACCCCCCTTCCCCCCAACCCCCCTCCAATGGGTTGAAGAGCCTAAAAAAAAGAGGAGGGAGAGATGTATGGGACCCAGGGCTAGAGCTTCAGCTGCCATAAATAAAGGGAGGTCCTGTGACTTCAGAAGAGCAGTGCCAGTCTACTGCAGCTGAGGGTGTGACTGTGCTGAGCTGTAAGTGCTGTAGCCAAGAGCAGGATCCCTGGGGGTGGAGGCTAGAGGAGGGTGCTGGTGGGAAAGGAGCGGCTGGGCTGCCAGCATAGGATTCAGTCTGAACTTGGAGGCTGGTAGTGAAGAAAAACAACATGAAGGCTGGTCAGGAGCAGACTCACAGTGCCTGCCAGCAGTCACAGCACCGTGCAAGAGCCTAGGGAAGCAGGACACACCTGCTCCAGGCACAGGGCTCCCCAGAAGAATGCAGTGTAACTGCACTTAGCACGGCACAGAGCCTGGGCCAGCTAGCGCACCTCACACAGGGGCTCTTGGCATGTGCCCAGGGCCACACTAACATCCTTTGTTCTGTGTGCTACACGCCACGGCTTGCCATACTTTGCTGTATGCTCCTCAATGCTGTCCTTTGATGGTGTGGACAAGCATAGGTGATGCGTAGGGAGGGCACGGGGGGGGCACATACCCCTTGCCTAAAGTGCTGGTGCCCCCCCTGACAGCGAGCCCTCCTGCTGGTAGGGGGGCACAGAGAGCGCTAGTGCCTCCCCTGAAATTGGCTCCACCAGCAGCTCCACCAACCGGCTGCCATGCCACCAGTTGGCCACTGGGGGACCCCCATGGTCATGCCCCGCTGGTGCCCCCCAGACTCGGGAGGCACAAGTCACCCATGTGGACAAACCTGCAGATTTAGAGCAAGCAAAGCCTCAGAACAGCCCCATGCTAATGCAGGAATGGATCAGTCTAACCTGGGGCTCTTCTAACTTGGACCTCTATGATCCAAAGAGGGAGGTTTAGGGACTCGACAAGAGTGACCATGACCAGGACAAATCTAGTGTTACCAGTTGCTTTCTCATAAATCCTTCCAGAGGAGCAGGGTAAACTAAGGGAAAGGGCCTTTCCCCTTCCAGGGAGTTCAGTGCAAGGAACTCTGCGTTAGAGTGGAGATGAGCCTAGAATCAAAGTGAGACACTCTCCTCTAAAAAGCCACGTAATCTTGGGATAGATTTTAGTCAAAGGAAACGCCACTCTCCTCTCTCCCAATCCCTCCTCACTTTTGGACAGCAGGGAGGGTGGGGAGGCTCTCCATGTGCTTGGTAGCTCAGCTTTTAATTCGCAGTTGGCATCCCTGAGCTGCCGGCTGGTGACAGCCTGTCTCGTGGAACATGAGAGGGTGCCTGATACTTGCTCTTTGGGCTGCTCCAGCCTGGAATATAAAAGCTCTCTCTCCTACAATCTGAAGCCACTGGCACTTCCATTCATTTACACAAGAGCTGAATCTGCCTTGAATATGGAGCCCAGGAACAACACCTAAAAACCAGTTTCCTTTCTAATTTTTGCTGAAGTTCTTTCTCACCCCCATAAATAGAGCTGGGGCTGAATCCTGAGGCTGGGGTGACAGCAGTGAGATGTGGCTGGGTGCTGATTCTGGACATGCATCAGTATTGTACCAGTGTATGAGCACTTCTGATTCACACACACTGACTCATAATTTTATTCCTTCCTCCAGACTGTAGCATTTTTATCATAAGAGATATACATCTCTACCTGGTAAGAGAGAATATCTAAGCACCTGCTTTGATTTTAAACTTTCACCAGACAGAAGGCTTTCAGTCATTTTATTGCCTTATACACACACCCAGTGTTTAATTAGAGACCTTTCTCTGTGACAAGTAGTAATAATGCTTCACCTTTACCACCAGTCTCTGGCTCCCACAGTCTAATTAAGCCAGAGTCACCTGGAATGGAATTAACCCTGTGGCTGCCAAATTGGAATATTGTGCATTATGTAGGACTACATTCATTATGAATATTTAAGAACAAAAAGTATGCTGATTACAGACAAATAAGGGAATGAAGTCTCTGCCCTGTGTTAAATAAAGAGCAATCCAGTAAAGGGTCGAAGAGAGAACATTCCCACCTCTTAACATTTTTATCACGAGTCTTGCAATATTTTGTGGGATTTTTTTAAAGCCCCAGGTCCAGGAGCCATGTGATTAAATGAGACTCTCATCTCAGCCTTCCTTTCAAAATAAAGTTAATTGTCCAAATATCTTTGTGAAAGGAAGTCTGAAAATACCCTTCCAAAAGCTTAGAAGGCAAAGAGAATGAGCTTTTCTTCTTTACTATTTCAGCAGTTTTAAGCTGACATCATGACTTCTGCATCATGTTTTTTTAAACACTAGGTACAGACAAATCATGGTTATTAGCATGGTCGTCCCATACCTTCACCACCCACAGTGCAGGTTTGTGCACTAAAAAAAATAATTGTTCCTACTAGCTAAAAGAGACTGTTGAGAAGAACCAGGGCTTCATACAAAGAAACTGCCTGCTGTAGAGTTTCTAAAATAACCTAGTTAAGGGAAACACAGTTAGTCCCATGTGTTGGGCTGTATACTGAATGATTCATTTAGCAGCCCCTGCAATAGCATTAGGGAAGGTCACAGGGACTAGAGTCAAAGGTTTTATGCAGAAAGTGACTTTAGGGAGGGATTTTAAATAGAACATGGAAACAGTGCAGGCACCAGAGACACAGAATCCAGCCTACTGGTTCCAAAATCCTTCCACATAATTTATAGCCACATTTCTTGAACTACAGCTACTTCCCTCACAGCAGCACTGTTCCTTTTGGGATCATTCTCTGTAAGGCACTGGGAAAGAACGCCTCTGCAGGGTAATTTACTGGTCATCAATGGGGGCACAGGATGTGCTTTAAATTCTTCAGCTACACCCACTCTTAGATGCCATCAGATACTTCCCCAACTGCAGGTCTGGAACTTTTCCCAGGATATGACATTCTCTGCTCACTACAGACATATCAGGCAACCAGCAGTATCAGACAACTGGGATCTGCAAAGGCCCTTCCTGTCAACAGTTCTTACTTGCCTATGACTTCTAAATAGCTATTTTTAGCTATTTAATTGATCTGTCCTAACTGGAAGCAACAGCAAAGCTCTCATGGACTTTTACATCCTCAGGTAGCTTTGAGTTCTTAATTATCTCATTGCTGTTTTGGAACTTGAATATTGTATGGGGGGGGGTTGCCATTAGAAAAATAAGTTCTAGGTTGTGTGAAAATATGGTAATACTCAACATGAATGCTAATAAGGTGGGTGGATGAAAGCAGGTTTTATATTTGGCCTATCTAGTGCCTGAATTGTCTTCATGCTGTCGATATTAATAAACTTAGATCTTTAGCAAAGGTTGTCATGAAGTAGTGGTTCATGACCTCTTCCAAACCAGGAATTTTTCCTGAGCCCTCCTTTCCATATGATCAGGACCATCCTCCTTTTGGCAATATAGGAAGTGCAGACTCACCATGACTCCATGATCCCTGCAGATGACGCTCTGGGAGTTGCATGTCTAAAGATGAGAATTGTTATCTTAAGTTTCTCTAGGTCTGATTTTCTTCCCAGACTTGCATAAATCAGAAGTAACTCCACTGAAGCTGCAAGGTATACTTGCGCTGAAGTATACCTACCTGGTCTAGGCAAGATATAACCTGAAGCAGAAGGCAGCGTTCCTTCTCTCATGCTGCCTGTTTACTGCAAAATGCTAGGCTTAGTACTGCAGGTTCCTTTGCCATTATCTTTTCAGATTATTTCCCTCCTGGAAGAATTCTTGCTGGAAGACAAATGCAAACACTCTGCTGGGTTTACTTGTGAAGATGGATTTGAACTTGTGGGAAGATGGGAAAGCAAAATCCAAACAGAGCTATTTTTGTCTGTTTAAAAAAAATAGACTGTGCAATAATAATTGAATGTTCTCATCCCATCCAGGCAAACATGAAGAGCAACAGGAAGAAGGAGGGATTGTCTCCAAGAACTTCACCAAGAAAATCCAGTACGTACCATACTATATATGCAGCTATTACTTTGTGCTTTCTAATGGGGCTTCCTCGTTCAGAGAGATTCTCATGGGAGAGAACAGAGGTTAGAAACGACAGCAAGACTGTTCTTAAGAGCACACAATGATCCTCTTAACAAGCCATCAGGTCACCCTGCTCTCCTCTCTGTGCTCTCAACTCCCTAGGATCTGTGAAAGGATTAGCAATTCTTCTCCCAAACACACAGGGTTTAGGGATTAGCCTAAAACAGAATGTATCCCTAATGTACATCCTCCTGATATCCAGATAGAAGGGATATGGATGGCTAATGTACTATCACCAGCCTGTGCTCATGGGGAATCTGCTAACCTTGCTAGCTTGAAGTGGTGACTTGTAAGTGCATGTATGAAGCCAATTACAGAAGCTTCATAAAATTCCTTCCTAACAGAGAATTTAACCCTACGAGATGCCAGGTGCTAGCATCTGCATGGACTCAAGGTGAGGACCCTGGCACCTCACAGGAACAAAACAATAAATAGATAAGCTCAGAATTTTGAAACAGAATAAGTGATTTAGAAATCGAAGGTGTGCATCTAAATCCTCCTAGCAGCTTTGAAAATCTCAACTATAAAGGCAGGTTCAGTTGGGAAGATGGGCGGGAAATATTCATCAGGTAAGGTGTGTTTGAAGCACATTGGACTCCCCGTCTGCAAACCACATTCCTTAAGGATTTATTATTATAAGCCTGAGTGTATGTTTATGCGATAGATTACAGGGGCCAAATATATCCCTGACAGACTCATAGTATTACTTCAGTAATATTACATCATGACTGACTCCACAATATATTTATGTGTATGTGAGTATTAAAAACTCATTTACGTCCTCAATATTTAGATTACACGAATGAGTCACACTGCAGAACTCTTGCCAAATGATATGAATCAGTGTGTCTTAGCCCAGTGCCTAGTGAGCGGGTATCTATATAAAAACAGGTCCCCTTTCTGTCAATCTTGAGAGAGGCCACTTGGTGAGAAACCCACGGAAAACAAATTCCCCCTTATTATTTTTTTTTCAATTTTGTGTCTCTGGCCAAATCAGCCAAATCAGTTCTGAACTCCCTCGACTGAGCAGAGCTCAATCATTCAAACCTGTGTGGCGCTACCACCAGCAAGCATCCTCCCTCCCAGACTCTTCAGCCTGGGGCTTCAGATACTCCAAAATCCATGGCAGGCATCTTATGCGCAAGCCCGGAGCCTGGAGGCCTTGGAGTTCAGATGCCTCCTAGTCTCGCTTGCTCCTAGGCAAAAGGCTGAAGGAGCACGCTAGAGGGAAAGCCCAAGAGCAATCCTCCTGAATCACTATAAATTGTGTAGCCAAGATCCTCCCATTGGGAGGCTATAGTAATATCTCATAGGGGTGCCCACCCACAATGCAAGGGACAGGTCTCCACTTTCAGTTACACCAAGACATTCAAGGCCAGGAAGAAGGGGATCTCCCCTGCCAGGTACAGTTAAACCACCTGTCCAACATCATCCTCATGGTATCTCTTCTGCCCTCTTAGTGTATAAAGTGATCTCTGATCTCTCCTCTAGCCCCAAACAGTCCTCAAATTCACAGCCAGCTTCTAAATAACTGAGAGACGGGTTTCAGTTCAGAACCCAGATCCAAATTCCCCCCATTGGTGAATCAATAGAGGAAAATGTCATTACAATTCAGTTTGGATGGCAGGAGCCCTGGCTTCTATTCCCTGCTCTGTTATTGACTTGTGTCACTTAACCACTCTATGCCTCAGTTTACCCACCTGTAGAACAAGAGTAATGCCACATGCAGCTTTGAAAAGCATTTTAAGGTCTATAGATGACTAGCTCTACAGAAGGACTAAGTATTAGAGATCAACAGGCATCAGACAATCCCAAGCTAAAGCTGACAACTCCACTATTTTAAAGTTTCTTTCCCCCTGCAAAGAAACAGATCTTGGCTGGGTTGTCTGTGTTTAACTTCAATGCACATGCTTTGGCTTGATTGTGTACACGTGTGTATTACGTAGGCAGAGATAGCCCTGCACACTGCAGTTTGTTTTTCCATTGGCAGGAAAGTGAATGCTGGATTTGGAGGAAAACAAGGCTGGGCAAGGCAGAGAGGGTACAGGTGGTGGGTGTTTTCATCTCACAGAAGGACTTGACAGATTTATTTCCTGTGATATTTCTGGCTATGAATGATCTAGTCCTGTGGTGGATCTGTAATGCAGGGCAAATGCCTCATTGGCTCATGGTGCTTATAAATATTTCACGACTGGGGCAAAACAAAAGATTTTTTTGTAAGGCTTACCCAGCCATCATCCCAACTGCATTCATTGTGGCTACCATCTACAATCGGCTGGTACATTTATGTTGTGGGTGGGAATAAAGGAGAAGGGAAAATAAGCAAGGAAATCATGTCAAGGAACGGATTTATAAACTCCATGGATTAACTGGCTGGGTGGAGCTAAAAGTAGTAGGAGAATGGCTGTCAGACTCCAAAAAGAAGTTGCCAATGAGATGTTTTGATAACTCTCAACAATTGCTCTCTCTTAGAGAGACAATGAAAAAAGGCCCTAAATAGAAATTAAAGTCCCAGGCCAGGAAAACACAGAAGGATGTTCATAACTGAGTGGATGAGTAGTCCTGTAGAGTCAATGGGACTACTCATGCATTTTGTCATGCACATGATTTAATTCTTTGCTGAGCTGGGACTAAATCTCTAAATGCACCAGATTAAATGCATTAATCTTCCAGTTGGGCCACGGTATTTTTTTAACCAAAGTGAGAAGCAGCAAGTATGCTGATTTTTTTTTTACAGCCCCCAGTTTATCTCCTGGCAAAAATGTCTGATCAAAACTGGCCAAAGGAGGATTCTTTCAGGAAAAAGCAAAAGAGTCAGGATAGCCTATGAAGCCTTAACTGAGCTGAGATCCACTAGAAAAGCCAAATACACCCATTCTCCAAAGTCAGAATCACCTCAATAAGTGTGTGCAGCTGTGATTGCACAGCCAGTCCTCCAACCTGCCTGCCCTGAGGGCAGCTGTAATGGTGCAGCCCACTTCAACATAGTCCCAAAGAAAGCACCTTGGGAGTGAAAGCACTGATGTCAGTGGAGTTTCATAGTTTCATAGTTGGCAGGGTTGGAAGGGACCCGAGCAGATCATCAAGTCCGACCCCCTGCCATGGGCAGGAAAGAGTACTGGGGTCAAACAACCCCGGCAAGGTGTCTATCTAGCCTCCTTTTGAAGACCCCCAGGGTAGGAGCAAGCACCACTTCCCCTGGAAGTTGGTTCCAGATCCTAGCCACCCTGACTGTGAAGTAGTGCCTCCTGTTATCTAGCCTGAATCTACTCTCCGTCAACTTATGGCCATTATTCCTTGTTGCTCCCGGTAGTGCTCAGGGGAACAGGGACTCTCCTATTGCCTGCTGGTCTCCCTTGGCAAGTTTATAGACAGCCACCAGATCCCCTCTCAGCCTTACCTGAGATCCTGGGGGCCTTCTGGGGCAGCAGCAGCGGTAATCTAGGCACGCAGGACCTGGCCGGCAGCCAGAGCATGACTTTGGCTGGCCAGGTTCTGGTTTCGGACAGTGCACTTTGCAGCCACATGCACCGCCCTGCTTTTTTCTGCTGCAGCTTTTTAGATACTGGGATTTCCCAGTATCTAATTTTGTCACCGTGCTGCAAATACGCAGCACAGCAAACATTCACAAGTGCTGCATGTGTTTTGCAGCACCTCAAAAGGTTTTGAGGTGCCGCAAACCTCACATTCCCCCTTGTAGGGACGCAGTCACAGAGTTCATAGTAAAACCCTACCAAACTTCCCACGGAGGCTTTTCTGTCCAAATATTAGCAGACTGATGTGTCTGGGTACAAACTGGTTGAGTGAGACTGGAGAGGCTGGTACCAAAACAGAGCCTGCAGAGATCTCACCTCCTTACCAATCCAGGGCAGCTATTTAATAACAAGGCAGAGAGGCTCCTTATATGGACATGGGTTTTTTGCCATGACGCATGCTGCAACATAAAAATGATTTAACTTGTGCTTTGCAGAAGCTCTGGCTGCAAAAGCTGTGAGTGACATCCAGTCAAACATATCTGCAGAGGAGATTAAACAGAGAGCCTTTCAGAGAATGGGGGACAAAGAAACCTCTTTAAAAATACACAGAACATCCACAGTCTTAAGCATAAGAGCAGCAGACTTTACTGATTTCCAGACAGGTAACCCGTGGGCAAACACAAGCCTGCATATTTTAGTTATATTAATTTAACATTAACAATTCTTTGCACTTTACAAATAGTGCCTTCCAGTCCCCTTAAAACACTACCAGCATGAATTAACTTGAGCCCACAACAGCCAATAAAGTAAGTACATATTATCATCATCGTTTTACACATGGGGGACGGAGACGGGGGACGGGGGACTGAGGGCAGGACAGATCTAATTGACTTGACTGAGATCTCACAAGAAACGTGAGGTAGAGGTGGGTAGGAAGTTCAGGATGCTTGAATGCCAGTCCCATGCTATAACCAGTCTTTGTAAACAGGGCGAGTCTTCATAAACTCATTTAGGGCAGCTCACAGAATATAGTGATCTGTAGGCTTCTGGGTGAACAATAAAAGGATTGTTTGCCAAGAAAAATATATAACTGAATAGCTGAAATGTAACCCTAAGCATTTCATGGAAGTTTATTAGGAAACGATAGAATGTCCCCTGGTGCTTCTTCATGTTGAATAAGGAAGCTATTTTCCTAGACATAGTGATCCATGCAGCTAAACAATTTATCTTCTGTTTATGCTTGGGTTGCTACCCTGAAAGATTTGTATCTGCTTTTCTTGTGGAACAGCTCTGTTATCTAGCATCTATTGTGGCCAGTCCCAGGTATGCTTTTTCAAGTATAAAGTACAAAGAATAGACAGGTAAGTAGTGTGTAGGAGCCATTATGGTGCTGTGCCAAATGTCCAACTTGGGAAATGTAACACAGGCAGCATCCATTAGTGCCTGTATTCCAAGTGCAGGGCAAAATGGTCTGTACACACTGAAGAAAGAGTGGCCTGGAGAATATCAACACTATCTCATTTTCTGTTCCTCTTTTCAGACTCCCCTATGAGGTGGATCCTGTCACAGTTTTTGCATCCTTATCTCCAGAAGGGCTGCTGATCATCGAAGCGCCACAGATACCTCCGTACCAGCAGTACGGAGACAGCAGCTGTGGTAACGAGATACCAATGGACAACCAAGAAGCAACCTGTGCTTGATGCATCTTCCCTGTTTCCCTTTTTCCCCCTCTCCCTTCTCAAACAGATTTCTCTTGATTCCAGCTGTAATTGCATTAGCTGAACAAACATGTACATTGGATCTTGTATATTCTCTTAAAGGGGCTCTGCTTCATCACATCCTACAGACATATTCCCTTGTCCTACTCCTGTTCTAATCAGAGTAAGTTTGCACTTAGACAAGGTGGTTGACTGTAGGGCTCCAGTATCATCACTGTGGTTGTTGTTACTTGTATTACAGTTGCACTTAGCGGGCCCAACAGAGGTGAAGGCCCCACTGTGCTAGAACTGTACTTATAGTAAGAGACAGTCCTTGCCCCAAAGAACTTACAGTCTAAAAAGACAAGATAAATAAAGGCTGAGGGGAGAAACAGTGGCTCAAGCAAGTGAAGTCACTTAGGAAATAATTTGCAGAGCCAGGTATAGTACCCAGGTCTCCTGGCTCCTAGGCCAATACATTATCCTCTACACAACACTTCCTCTTGTATTACTTGTCATTTTTTTCTCTACTGGCTGAAAACAACCAGGATATGGCAGAGAATTTATCATGGCAAGATCCAAAGAGTGGTTGAAATTCCCTAACAAGCTGCTTATGGGCTCTGCTGGCTCCAAACAAAATCAAATCACAGGGCCTGGGAGAGGTGACTCCGTAACTCCAGCTTCTCTTTGGCATTTCTCCCTTAGTAGTGTCCCAATATGGCCCACAGTTTCACCAAGGTTTTATTGAGGTCTTACATGCGCCAATATCGTTTATCTGTATATCGTACATAATAAAACAGATGTCTTGTTTGTTGTTGTTTTTTGCTATAAGTTAATAAGATGGAATATTTATGACACTCACAAAACTTTCTCCTCTTAAATTAAAGTGCAACTCTTGCAGTCATATTCTACATGTGTCTCTTTCTTTTCCATTTCATGAATGATTGCTCTTTAAACAGCCTCTTACCAGTGTCAAGATTAGTTTTTTGGTGATGGAAAGACTGGCAAGTATTGTTGTTTTGTAGACAGACAACCTGAAAGACCAGACATATTCAGAAATGTAACTTGTCTGCATGTTTTGACCCTCTTATTTTATTATCCAGAAAGGATTTGTGCTTTTATTTGACAAACATGATGAATAAAACCTAGTGGATGTTCTTAGCTTTTGTGTTTGCCTTTCTGGAATCAAATCGAGATCTGATAGGTTTGGTTTGTCACATAAAGCCTAGTTTCCCAAGTGGAAGGCTAGTGCATGCAGGGGGGAGGTACAGAATATGTCAGGGAGATGATAATTAAATAAAGCTGTTTGAGACTTTCACTGTGAATTTAATTTTAAAAGAAAAATTAAATGATTGAAAAATTGAAACTTTCCACTTGGAAACAAAACATTTATTTTTGGGTCAGTGTCACATTGACCTGCACCTGTGTAAACTGTCACAGGTCCTCATAGTAGCTGTAATTAATGTAGTCCATAAGGTGCCTCGTTCTTGATTTATTAGCTGGACTATATCTCCAGTTACACCCTCTTTTCCATTCTGGTCAAATCCATGGCTGCAGTGCATCATGGAAAATGCAGTCCAATCAAGGAAGATCCCCCATAGAGAAAAACAGGGCACTCGAACAATTGTCATGAAGTGGTACCTCAGCAGTTTAGGTAGAAAAAAAGTTCAGGTCGAATCAAGCTAAAACAAAGCATTTCAGTTTAGCCCAACAAACCCAAATGAAATATTTTGACATTCAGAGGCCTTCAGTTCTCTGGAGCATTTAGATATTTTGACTCCTTATCCTAATTTAGGATGGAAACGCATCTCAAAATATGAGAATTTCTTGCAGGATGGAAACGGATTTTCAACAAATTCTACTGCTGTGGTTTGTGAGTGGTCCCAGGATTCCCTTGTTTCATCCTACAGCCAAGCAAAAGAGGAGCATGCTTCTATTACTGTGTCTATTACAGTAATTCCCAGGTCCCATAACAATTATGCTGAAGTCTCTGAGGACAGCACATTCCCAGCAGTTAGTTGCATATGTTGTGCCTGCACACAAGATGATTAATAGGACTACAAACCACAGTGGCTAACTAGGTGCTGCCCTTACCAATAGTCCAGGCTGCAACATGTCCCTCTCCCTGTAACCCAGACACAACCTAGGTTCATGTATTTTGGCTAGATCTCCTGAGTTTCTGAATTCAGACCAGTCATTTGACCTTCCTCCCTGCTCCGTACACAACAAGAAATTCCAGAGCTTAATGCCCTATTTGCTGCTGAAGCCCCTCTCTGTGCCTACATCCTACTCAGGCAGTGATTGGGTACAGAGCCAGGCCCATGAATGGTGAGGAAACAGTTAATCCCTGTTTCCAATGATGATAGGTAGGACTAGCTGTTGTTTTGTTTGTTTGTTGTTTTTGTATGTGTATATATATGTAGCTTTCCGTGCCTATCTGCCCAAGTGTCGTGCCTGTGGGTCTCCTTTGAACCTTGCCATCGCCTTTGGGGCTGCACGGTCGGGCTACCGGGAGCAGCCTTGGGTCAGCTCCCCCAGGGGTCTCTCCTGCCACGTCTTTGCTGGTAATTAGTCTTCTAGGAGGAAGGTGTTTGGTCCTGTCTCCCCTGGAACCTCCCCTCGGTCGTCCTCATGGCCTTTGCTTCTCAGGGCTCCACGTCCCCTACACCCTGCCTAATGCTAACCGTGATGTTAACTGTCAGGGCTGGTGTTATGGCCCTCACTGACGCCCAGTTTCTCAAGGGCTGTGGCTGTGGGCTACAGATCGCACTGGTGCCGAGCATCGACCACTGCCCTTCAGTGCTCCCTGGTTCACATGGGGTCTGGCTGCACCCGGGCTTCGGGTCCCCTTGGCAGGTTCCTCCCTCCCCGGGTTCAGTACCTGTTGCCCATCGTCCGTGTCCAGGTTCTGGCTTTGTTGTCTCCGTAGGTGTCCCAGTCACTGCTACTGCTGGCCTCCGTCCATGCCGATCTTGTAGGTGACTCCTTGGGCCCTCGCTGGCCTGACTTGTCTTCCGTGGCTCCGTCTCTGGGGTGCCACCACATCTCCTCCGCTGCAGGACCTGTGGTCCTCCCCAATCCCTCCGGGCTGGTTAAGGACGCCACTTCCTTTTCCTTTTCCTCTTCTGCTTCTTCTTCTTCTCTCCCCGGCTTCCTTCCTGCTGGGCTTTTTATCCCGACTCTAGGTGGTCACCTGGCTAATTGCCCTCGGCACGCTCTAACAAAGCACGACCAAACAGATGCAGGAGCTGTTCCTGGCTCCTCCTGGCTCCATCACGGGTTTTCCCTTTGATCTTGAACCACGTCAGCTTCCACCACCACGGTTTCACTTTCGCTGTTGCCAGCCGCCAGCGCAGCATCCCGCTGCCTTTCTCCTGCCAAGTTTTCTCTACAATATATATATATATGTGTGTGTGTGTATATATATATATATAAGATTATATATATCTACACTCCCTAGTCTCACACCGCAAAAAGAAAATCCTTCACCCATTACAAAACTGCACCCGTGCACCTGTACAAAGGCCCGCTGGCCACCCAAACCCATTACAATATCTGCATCGCGGGCAACACACACAAAACAAATAAGTCCTTCCTGGTCCCTCAGACCAGGCAACACTTCCTTTCCATCCCCACTCTGTTTGCGGGGTGACATACTCAGTTCAAGTGTCTTCATCATTGTCATTCCAGCTCCTGCTGGAGAACCCGCTGCTGCTGCTGTCCTCTGTTCCACTTGTCCCTTCCTCTTCTTCGCTGCCTTCACCCCCCCTCTCCACTTAGGGAGGAGGGCAGGAGGGAGTTGTATGATCCTGTGCCACATGTCTCTGTGCCAGGTGACTTTGGCTGCCTCTTTCCCATCCTCCTCTACCAATTTCTGGTAGTAGGTCTGGAGTTCGCTCAGTGCCATTTTCACACAGCCCACTACCTCTACGTCCATTTGCCTGTAAAACAGGAGGTTCCTGGCCTTCCACAAGGCACTCCTGATGCAGGATGCAAACTGGTCAAAATGGGGCGCCAGACTCCCCTGATGTTTGGCAAGGTGCCCATACAGCACCGCTTCTCTGGTTAGCTGGCTGATGCTGGTCACTGCTTTGCAGAGCCGCTTCACCCTTTTCCATACCTCCTTGGCGCAGATGCAGATCCAAAGGAGGTGCTTAATTGTCTCGGTGGCTCCATGGCAGTTGGGCCATGGGAAGCTGGGTCTCCCCAATTGCCCCTCTCTATTTTTCTGGGCCCTCACTGGTAGAGCTCAGTGGGCTATGAGCCAGTTCAGGTCCTTGTGATTTTTGCGCAGCTCCTTGTGGTGGATGAGCTCCCACACGGCCTGGCATGCGCTGCCCGGGAGCAGGTCTACGGGTGACGTGATGTCCCTTAGTCTCACCATCTCCTGGATCTCCCTGTGGCTTCTCATGGTCACTGGGCTCATGTTCTGCAGGCTGTACACACTTTGGTGCTGGTTCAGGGTCTTATAGAACCACAGTGCACCCATGATCCACGGTCTATGGTTGGTCAGGGTGAATACCCCCCAGTGTCTTAGGATGTACCCTGCAAAGTACCTCACGAGGCAAGTGGTTTTGGCTTCTGCGTCCATTGCCAGCTTGCAGATCATGCTCGAATACTTGGCCCATAGGAACAGGAGGATGTCTGGCATGCCCCTGCCCCCAGCCCTCTTGTCCTTGTACAGGGTCTTCGGGGTGACTTTTTTCCATCTGGAGCCCCAGAAGAAAATGCACACAGCCCTCTGGATCCTGTGGGTGACACGCTCGGAAGGGGGGGGGGAATACCAGTGCTGCGTACAGAAGCACTGATAACAATACTGCCTTCACGAGCATGACACACTCCCACATGGAGAGGGAATGCGTGTGCCACAAGCCCAGTTTCTGCTTTACCTTGGCCTCTGTCTTCTCCCATGCTGTCCTGCCACTCAGATCCAGGTAAAAATCTATCCCCAGGATCCTGACCTCTTTGCGGGGGACCGAGACCCCCCCAGGAACTCCAGGTCCCTGCCCTTGCCCATGGCTAAGCAAGTGCTCTTGCTCACATTGAGCTTGGTCCCCGCTATCACCTCATACACCTGCGTGTGTGCCAGGGCTTCCTCTACCGAGCCCCTGTTCTGGCACAGGATGTCCAAATCATCCATGTAGGCCAGGACCTTGGCCTCTCGGTTGCTGCTTCCTGGGATGTGGACTCTGCAGATCCCTGGGTCCTGCCTCATGCACTGGGCCAGGGGCTTGATGGCACAGATGACCAGGATCAGGGAGAGTGGGCAGCCCTGCTGGACTCCCGACTCCACCGCAAACCTGGCACTCAGGAAACCATTGATCTGCACTTCACTGCTCACTTCTGTGTACAGGGCCCTGATCCATCTGACGCAGATCAAGGGGACTCCCATCCACTCCAGGGTCTGGAAGAGGAGCCAATGGGACACTAGGACTACAGCTTTGCATCTTCATGCTAAAGACCCTCAGGAGAAGGTGGACACAGCTGTGATGGAAGGCCTGCCTTCTATGCTCTCTATAAGCAGCCAGCAGGCTGGGGCGATTCAATTCTTTGCACATTAGAGCAAAGAGCAAGACATCTCCTTGGAAGGATGGGGTGTTTTGTTTACTCTCTTCTATAAACTAAGTTGAGACAAATGTTTTGTAATTCCAGATCTTCAGAGGGCCAACACCCAGAAAGAAGCACTGGAAGGAGCGGTTCTTTATTATAGCTCTTTGAGGGTGTGGATGAGGTAAATTAGGCTTTATTTGAATTTACAGGCTGGGTCTTTGAAAGTACAGGTCTTTGTTGAAACCTGCAGAGAAGGCTATCAAAAGTAGCTTATCATTTTTTTTAGATGCCTACCTACAGGCTTCTTAAAGAGTTTGTTTTTAGATGGTGCTAAATATCTGCTCTCTGAAAAAAGAGTTCTCCAATATCTCTTAGTTGGAGCAGAGTTGTGGCCTGTACATTGTGTTAGCCCAACTCACTTAAAACTCTAGCAGAACCAGGGTCCTATAGTGGGGAAGAAGGAGGGGGCAGAACCCATATCCTACCACGCTACAGGGTTGTGGTATATTCACCTTGTGTGTCTCTAGTTATCCTTTCCCAGATATACTGCCTTAGAACAGGTAGTATTTGATAACTGCCCAGAGATTTTCTTTTCCCAGAGTGCACCCTTA